GTTTTAATAGTGAATTCCAACTTATACATTGTTAATAACATAATTTTATATACGTGCCTATCTTGCCCCATTACTGTTGCCCCTATACCAGGGGCAACTTTAATAAAAATAATTAAAATAATTACAACTTTACAAAAAGAGAGAAGTTGCCGATCTTGCCCCTATAGAGCAATTTTTTAAAATTTCCTAAAACATATTATTACAAATGGCCTATTTTAATTATTTTTATTTCCAAACTGATTTTAACCAGTTCTATAGTAAGGTAACATTCCAATAGACAATATGCAAAAGGTTTTTTTTCAGTTTACAGCAGTATTTTATTACACAAAATTTAAGTAAAGCTTAACATGCCGATGTTGCCCCGGTCTCCCCTACATCTGATTTTTTGTTTGAAGCTTAATAACTCCTGTGCTTTTTGTCGAAAATTTATGAAATTTTGCAGGGAGGTTTGTTTATTAGGGGAATTGATGCTATTAAATTTTGGTGGTTAAAGGCCGAGGAGGTGGGGAAATAATGGGGGTCGTATGTATCTCTAGTAGGGTCGGACATTTTACTCGTTATTAGCATTTACATTTTTTTTTATAAAACTTATTCCTACTCTCAAAAGTAAACTTTTTGCCGTTTTTTAATAGTTAAAAATATTAAAAGTTTTTAAAATAAAATATCAGAACAGATAGCGACACTAAATGTTGCAGGAAAAGTTAAACAACTCGTTGTTGGATTTTTTTGTAAGGATCTGCAACATTTTTCTTCTTGGGTGCCACACGTTCAGCATTACATCCCAAACTTTTTTGCGTGTCATAACCATTATAATTACTTTTTAAAATTAAATCCGTAACATTTTACTAATAATAAATTAATAGAATCTCAAAATATTTGTTAGAGACAGAGAGATGTCTAATGTATGTAGTGATGACTATCAATTCTTAACACGTTATTTAGAGTTGATCAAACATGCAAGGAAACTTATTCGCGTGCAACGAGGTACCTGGAGTTGTTGACTTCTGCCCTAATTAATTAATTAATGCGAACTTTTAAGCATCTGTTAAGATACTTGAAAGTTTGCATTGATGTTAAGAATATATCTAATAAAACTCTTGAAAAATTACATTAAAATCACAGCGTAAAACAATATTTGATCAGTTCTTAAGTTTATTTTATTTATTACAAAGATAAAACTTCTTACTTTTAGAGAGCACTTAATATTATAAGAAAAACACACGTGTCATTACTATATACTTTATATATATATTATATACGCTATATTTTAATTCAGCCCATACAATCCATAATTATAGATACTTTTTCTTGTTATAAGCTACATATCTCAATTCTAAACATATGCATTTTGTGTATATTATATTATAATATAATGTTTGTATATTATTTCAGTACTTATATAATTAAACATTTCGTTTGCACATATTTATATTCATTGTGGGTTTGAACGGGCCCGCATTGGAGGTGGACGGGTGGAGAAGGAACTGGCCCGATATTTATTTTATATATAATGTATAATATATTGATTAATTAAAAGCTTTTAATTACAGATTATTATTGGTGGATCCGATAAACAATCGAAAGATATATATTTTATAATATCGGGCAGTTGTAAATTTGTTCGTGCAGTGAATTATACATTAAATATTAATAAATTGGGTGAAGTACAGTACCGTTTGCCTGTAAAACCTGATAATTTTGTAGAAAAAATTTATAAAGCATTACTAGAAGTTTGTATTGTAAAATTCGGAAGTTATTTTGGTATAGGTGAGTTACAATTTTTATGTTATATCAAAAAATATTTCCTTTATCCATTATTTATTATTTTTTTTAGGAGAGGATACCTCCAAATCATATCTTATTGCATTGGATAACGTATCATGTTTGTTAATCCCAAAAACTATTATGCATAAATTTAGATTAGGAAAATACATCGATAAATTAATTCAGATACACAATGAAATCTATCCTTCTGAGCAAACAGTATTAGATTTATACTGTAAACAAAATAAATTACTGAAATTACAGAATAAAATAATTAAAAATACAATATTATAATTATATAAAAATTATTTCAAATTTAATGATTATACCTTGTATTTTTATATAATGAAGCATACAAGAGACATAACCACAGATCTGTTAAAGAGATCTCTAAAAGTTTCTCCGCTCAGCATCTTAGTATGATAAACTCACAAAGAAACTGCAATTATCAGACATAACAACTGATAAAAGAGTTACCCAACGCTGCTGACTCTCCCTCTATCTCTTCAATGTCTACTTGGAAGATATGTTAAAATGACACTTAATGCTTAAAGAATCAACTTAAACGATTGTAACATTAATAATCTGAAATATGTAGATGATAGAGTCCTAATAGAAGACACAATAGAAAACACTAAGAACTTTGAAGTCTTTGAAACGAAATGTTAAAGAAAATAAACAATATTAAGTGGACTGACAAAAAAACAAACACACAAGAGGCTAGATCTAAAATATTCTGATGCTATCATAAATTTAATCTACAAAAGACAACTGCAATGGTATGGACATGTGGAAAGGATGACACCACAGAGAATTCCAATAGCTATACTGTATGCTAGCATCACAGATATAGATAAATCATCGTACAATCAAGGGATAATTGGAATAAAGTTTCTGAACTTATGGAGGAGTCAACCATGAACGGATGAGGATGAATGAATTAATGAATGAATGATCATATTTTTTGTCAGAAAATCAGAAAAATATTCTAATAAAAGTATATTTAAATATTAGGCTATAATAATTTTAAGTGTTTTTTAAAGAATATTTTTAACATATTTTAAATTATGACTTTTTTAATATATATTTATATAAGAATTAACTTTAATATTAATTGTTTTAAAGTAATCAACTGTTTCTGTAGATTTTATAATACTAATTGTATATAAAAAACGAAAAGTTATAATTATAATCTGATTAAAAATATAAACCATTGTTGTAACCTTTGTTACATATGAAAATGTACTTTTTAATATAAATATTAAAATTATAAATGAATAAATTTAATAGAGTCACATGTCCAACCTCCAATTTTAAAATTTCAGAAATATTTAATTAAGCCATTTTTAAATCTTTCGTACAAGTTTAAAATATTATAATATTAAGGTTAATTCCTACATATTATTAAGGCGATTTTTTTAAATGAAAGAAATCTGTAAGAAAAGTAATTAAAAAATGAGCGATTATTTATTATGACGATGTCATAATAACGGGCTACAATTTTTAATCATTTAATGGAAAAATTCACATGACTTCCGGACCAAACTGAAGTTTGTATATAGTTATTCGAGTCTCCAGCTCCTAAGCTTTCCTTATCCAGTCTCGATTTTAATGTATCTAACACTGTTCTCGAGATTAGCGAAGGACAGACAGATAGACGGACGACCGGAAATTGCACCCCAATAACCAATATTTATATTTTAGTTGTTTTTTAATGTCTTATTTGTTAAATGTTCCAATCTTTTTAAGTTATCCTAATTATAATAGATATATTATAATTAATTTTACATTTTAATGTTTTATTTATCATGAATTATACTAATTAAAATGTTTTTATTATATATTTTTCAATTTAATTTCAATTTAATTAAATTCGGATTATTTGTAAGTAAATTTAGAGTAGAAACAATAAAGTCTCTATTTTATCGATACTTTCCCTGTTGTTAACTTATATATAAAAGAAGGAAAGTATAGCGATCTGTCAAAAAATGTCCCCCCCCCAAATTTTTACATTTTGGGCACGTGGGATCTTGAAATTTTGAGAAATGCAAAATATAAAGGGGGTATCTATATGTATGAATGTTAGAGTCGGTGTATATTTGGGGACAGGATTTTGAGCCCACTTTAAAACTTAATTAATAACTCCTGTGCTTTTGTCGAAATTTTCTGTAATTTTGCAGAGGTATTAGAGGGATTGATGCTTTAAATTTTGGTGATTAAAAGTCGAAGAAGTGGGAAGATAGAGGAGGGGGTCACTTGTATCTTGAATGAGATTGGACTTAACCTAATGATTTTACTCGTTATAAACATGTATATAGGCCTAAATATATTTTATAAAACTCGTCTTTACCCATAAATGTAAGCTTTTTGCCATTTTATAATACTTAATAATATAAAATGTTTTTAAAATAAAATATCATAACAGATGGCGCCAGACA